TTTGGTGAAGATTTTTGATGTGACCCTGAGGCAAAAGTTGTTCAGTTTATTTTTCTGCATAAGATAGTTTTTTTCCGGAATTTTTGGACGACGCCCTTTTTTTTTCAACGGGATTCAACGGTGATTCAACGGGATTCAACGGGGATTCAACGGGATTCAACGGGATGATTTTTTTTTTTTGGTTCACGTGCGTCCAGCGCCGTGTCCGAGGCCCAATGCACCCTCCCCGTTGAACAATATTCAATGGGGGGGGGCCGTTGTACTATTCAACGGGAATTCAACGGGGCCCCGGGGGCTATTCAACGAGTACAACGGAGTTGAAACTTTCCCGTTGCCCATTGAATAGACACACAGTCGACAGTGCCATGCGCGCGACGCAACGAGTCCGTGAAACGCGGGAATCCTATATTTTTCAGTAGGTCAGGGGCTACTGGAAAATTTAGGACAATTCTGCCTGGGAAATCCCAAATCCTATAGGACTCGTCCTAATGCCGTTTTCACATTTTCGATCTCAAAATTGGATTTAGGATTGCGTGCAACCAAGACGCAATCCTCAAAACAGGCACTTTTAGGAGTGTCTAACGAGACCCTTAAGGATTAAGACGCAGGGCCGCGCCACAGGACTGTCGACCCAAGAAAAGTAGGAATGCATCTTCCGCAGAACCTGGTTTGGTACATCCGTTGCTATTTATAGTAACGGATGCTGGGCAACAAGGCACCTGACCAAAAAAAAAACAAAAAAGAAAAAGAAAAAAGAAAAGAAAAGAAAACCACGGCACCTGACAGGCAGCATCAACAAAACACAGCGGCCGGAGGGGAGGGGAGGAGAGAGGCGGTCGGGAAGCCAGACGACAAGGCAAGTAGCAGGGAAGCACAATGAGCAGGAAGGTAACCAGGGAGCGAGGCAACAGAGAAGGAAAATGCGTTTGGGGCAAGCAGGCGGTGAGGCCACACACGGGCAAGCAGGCGGTGAGGCCACACACGGGCAAGGGAGACAGGAGAAGGAAAGCCAAGGAGTGGGAGAGGAGAGAAAAGGCATAGGCACAAGACAACCGGGAAGAGCATCTAGGCAGCAAGCCCAGTACCGGCCAGGCAGTCCCCTTGTGCAGCACACGGACTAAAGCAGAAGATCGCCCACTCACACCACAAGTCGAGAACTGTACAGACGGTAGGTCCACAGGGCCAGGGCGTCCATTTGATGGATGCCTTTCATCACCCAGGGAACACAAACACAGGCATCCCTAACGCAGCAGCCCCCCTAACAGTTTTGCGGGCACTCCAACGAAACGGGCGACGACTATTTGGCAAATTGGCACACCTTGAGGGTGCTCACTTAGACACAGCAGGGAAGCACAGAAAAAGACACACAAGTAACAGGCATTCGTGAATGTGTGTGTGTGTGTGTGTGTGTGTGTGTGTGTGTGTGTTTGGGTGTGTGCGTGTTGTAGACTGTGACCAAGCCATTCCATTAACCTGGATCGCGCGTGCAGAATGACACGTGCAATCAAGTGAGTGGCTGAGACCAGATTCAGAATGCTTCTTCACAAATTGGTTTGTTGATTGCAAATTGTTGATTGCGATTCTAAATCTGTTCTGAGACTCCTGATGGTGATGATGTTATGGTCAAAGACTCAAAACGAGTCAAAAGTAGTCCTTGCAGGTAACGGAAATCCGAAGTGAACGTAGTAAATTAACTTTAATTTAGTAAATAAAAGAGGTAAGTACGTTCAGGTCACCTTTGAGTATCGAATGGGCAAAAAGAACACGCGTAGGAAAAGAAAACCGCGCCGAGGTCGAAAAGGCAACTGAAGTACCAATGGCCGTGGTGTCAGAACGGATGGCATATTTATTTACAGGGGTCGGCCGTGGTGTCAGAGGAGGGGCAAACACACACACACAAAAAAAAAAAAAGTAAATAAATAAAGCCCCGACTGATACATTTGGACTGAAATTGCTCATTTTCGAGTTGGCGTGTGGTTTCTTTGCCAGCGCGAGTTTTGTTTCTTTGCCTTTGGGGTTTCAAAACATGCCACTTATTTCCAAATAAATATTCCAATGTAGAAAGCAGGAAAGTGCACATAGATGCTTGATAGAAAGAAAAAAAAAACAAAAAAAACAAAAAAAAAACAAACAAACAAACAAACAAACAAACAAACAAACAAACAATTCAAAACAGTACTAAGTTACTACTAACCACAAATACTTCTAAAATTATTGATATGAAGTTCCGCATTTCTTTGCAAAATAGCTCGTCTGAAGTCAATGGTGACCACAGTGAAAAAAAAAAAAAAAAAAAGAGGAGGAGGAAAGTAAGAGGGGATCAAAGAGGGCAGGCTGTCTACAAACTCCTCAACGAAAGAGAGCAATCTGAAACAGAAGAGAGACAAAATATGACACCCAAGACAAACCCAGGAAGAGACAGAGAGAGGGGAAACCAAAAAAAAAAAAAAAGGAAGAAAAAGTTAACCAATAAGAGGGAGAAGAAAAGTAGAAGAAGAAGAGGAGGAGGAGGAGGAGGAGGAGGGGACGATAAGAAAAGACAATGAGAAGAGAAAGTCCTCTCCTACAAGAAGGAGAAGAGCAGAGGGAGCAAAGGGAGTAGCAGAAGAAGAAGAAGAAGAAGAAGAAGAAGAAGAAGAAGAAGAAGAAGAAGAAGAAGAGTAGAGGGAGGAGAGGGAGCAGGGAGAGCTGTCCGCGTCAGATCCTTTTCCATAGTACAAGAGATCGTCTGCAGCCCGGGCTGGAAGTCGATGGAATCTCGCGCTCTCTTTTTCTCCAACTCGAAGAGGAGAGTCCTTTTCCAAATTAGGAAAGATCACCTAGAGCTCCTCAGCCTAGAAGCCAACAGAGGCCCAGCCTTTCTTCTGCAACTCCAATCGCAAGGCCTGCGCTCAATTCAATTAAAAAAAAAAAAAAAAAAAAACACCACCACCATGACAAAGAAAAATCAGACATTTGATTTCGGCGGGCCGGGGCTGGGCGTATAGCGTTCAGTGTTGTTGTTGCTTTTTCTTCACGGTAACCGCCTGGACGTCCGGACCGGGTTCCAGACAGTCCGGTGTCCGGTGTCTGGTGTCCGGTGTCTGGTGTCCGGTGTCCGGTGTCCGGTGTCTGGACAATATGTCTGGATTGAGGCCTCTGGGGCAAAAATCAAAAAAAAAATTGGGGCGGCCCAGGACGTTTATCGGGTCCTGGCCGCCCCTAGAAAAATAATGGGTTGATTTTTCAATGTCGTTTCACCCCACCGGACAGGGCCTAGAGGTCCAGACACAAGACACTGCAGGTTTTTGGGGTGGCGGGTTTCGCACAGGCCCAAGCAATTTCAAAGTGGCCTTTTCGATGTGGAGCCAGCTGCTGCTGCCCGTTGGGGGGGGGAAGAGAGAGAGAGAGAGAGAGAGAGAGAGAGAGAG